TTCCTCTTTAACTTGAGCAATGAATGAACCAGGCTAGAGATAAATCCACCTGAACAGCCTGCGCACAGACAAGACACCATTACTACCTGCACCCAGGGCGTACCTCACTCACTTAGTATGCAAATGTTTGTATTGAACTTGTTGCAGTTAACAGTTGCCTATATCTGTGGAAGGACTAATCATTTTAATATGCATATTTTACTGACAGTAATCCCTGCTAGTACATTTTGTCACCACAAGCTTTAATTGCCAAAATTTGTGACAGTTTCTCCAACAATTGAAGCAATCATTGTGATTTTCCTTTTCAACTTTAATACATACCCTGAACACTATTATATTAATTATGAACATGCTCTACAGTGCTACTGAATTCATCAGAAAAATGCATATCGAGAACTTAAAAACAGCCGCCCGACCTTTGTGACTAGTCATAGCAATAGACTGGAATCTGAGCAGTGGTCCACATTAGTCATCACTGGTCATTGAATCATAAACATTCAACTCCGGAAACATAAGCACAACTCCAATCTCAACAAAAAATATTCTATTAACCTAAAGTTTGGAAATGTCAATTTTAAAACGGACAGAATAACTTGTGAGGCAAATCATTACTGGCTTTCTTATCTGAAAATGTCAGTGCTCACTTGAGATAAATGAAGATGGGAATTAAACCATTAAGTCAAGCTGCTCCAGGCATTCTATTTATTAATAATGCCCCACTGTGGAGCTGTGGAAATGTTCTGTCCAAGTGTTTCTATATGCAACCGAGAGACTGACATTTTTTACAAACATAGAAAAATTATTTTCCCTTTTTAATAATTTCTCCAGCTGGAAAGTATCACCTTATGAGTTCAGTACCATGTCCTGGAACTTCTCTGCAGGGTTTAATGAAACCTGCATGCAGTTATCTCTTAAAAGATAAAAAAAAATGACAGAACGCAAAAAGAGGGCCAAATAGAGGACATCAAAAACCTGCAGGGTAATGGCAAGGAGAGCGACACCAAAACATAAAACTGACACTTTCTTTTAGTTGCTGCTATGCCCCCCCCATCCTACCACCCCATTAAAGTATAATATTTGCATTAAACAGCAACTTTAAATTAAATCAACTTCTGAACGCTTCTGGTTTTCTTAATCTGGTTCTGCGTTTGCTATTTCATAGTCTTTTGCATATTTTGTTTCTGGGGGGAGGGGGTCATAAGTACCTGGGGCAAAGAAATGCAAAAGAACAAAGAACAACTAGGCCAGTTACCTATAGAAACCACGCAATATCCTTGATGCATTTGATTGATGAAATCTGTTTGATTGCTATAGGAAACTGTTCAAATGTTTTTTTTTACTGCTTTTTTGTTTACAGAACATTAAAGGAGAATTATGGGGTGAGTGAAAAACACTCATCCGCATAATTCAAGCCAACCTGTGACACTGAAACTGTCACTGGTCAGCTCTATTGATGGGGAAGTCATCAAACACATACCGGCGATCGCTGGCTTCCAGATCATCTCCCTGCAGAGAATAGTGACTGTCAGTCACTGTTCCCCACAGGGATTCCCCCCTCCCCTCTCCGTTTCTACAGCGCTAACTGGAGGAAAGGATGGGGAGGGGGCTGGCACAAATGCCTCTGCGTCTAGATAGGTAGGGCCTGCTGACAATCAGCCAGCGGGGTGGATCTCAACAGTATTGTCGGCATCCGTCACGCTGCTGCGTGGCTCTGCACTCTCAGCATATAGCAGGCAATAGCCCGCTACATACTGTGTGTTGGGTTACCGGAGGACTTTCGTATATGTCCTCCTGTTACCCTGAAGAGAACTATGGCCACAAAAGGTTAGGCCATAGTTCTCTTTTAAGACAGAAGTCTTCATAGGTATTTTTAGAACACAATTAGGACTGCTGGATTCTGCTGTCTCTCTCCATCAAATGTTTAGAAAAAGGTAGATAAATGAGGGAACAGGTCTGGAGCAGTGTATGACTGTAGAGAGGACAATTGATCTGTTGATATATGCATGCCTTTTAGACATGTGCATTCGGATTCGGATGAACCTGCAAATCAACGAAAATCAGTTGATTCGGCGGTTCGTCTGAATCCGAAATAACAAATTTAATATATGCCCGAATATACTAAAACGATATTCGGACGTACATAAATTAGTTTTCAGAACATGCCGGCGGCCATATTGGCCACCAGTGTGTTCTGGGCATGCCCGCCGCCATATTGGAGGTAGAGCATATGATGTCACATGATGGTGACGTCACACGCTGAACGAGCAGTGGCCAGATGCGCGCTGCCATTTTGGAGTAGATCTTGGTATACACCAAGATGCCGGCGCTCGAACATGCAGGGCGCCACCATCTTGGTGTGCGGGTTACAACATAAACATTTGTTTCCTTTGACGAAACTAATGAAAAAGTTTTTTGTTTTCATTTGTTACGTCTGGAAACAAATGTTTTTGTTGTGCACATGTCTAATGTCTTTTGCACATAAGAGTCACTTGCAAAACAATGCAGGGAAAAGCAAAGCTTTCACTGACACTTCTTTCCAACCCTATGTACCCTAGAAATGAGTTTACATTGAGAACAGCTAATCAATGTTCAATCCGCCCCGCTCTGTTTCTCTGTCTTTCAGCAATCATAAGCATTTTATTCAGACTTGAACACATACATATACTCATATACATCATAGTCTCATATACATCATAGTCTTAGCATTTTCGAATGACACATGGCTTGAAGTGTATTTTCACTTTTGCAGACAAATTTGAGAAAACCCCACTATATGTCTGTTATGTGTTCCTATTTACACGGCAAACCTAAAAATAGTTTAAAAAATATTTATTTTACATGTGTTGGTGTAGTTGGCCTTTGGAGCTTTTCTATACAATTTCAAAATGACAGGACATTCTGACTGTCCCCATAGAAAGACTATGGGCACTCTGAAGTTCCCCTTAATAATTTAGAATGCTTCTACATTGTTAACTTTTCATTTTGGCCAGTCAGTGTTCAAATCTAATTTTGAACAGAAAAGAAAAGGAAGGCGCACAACTGACTGGCACAGACTATGTGGACAGGAAATAACTGGGGAGTAACAGTAAATCAAGGTGTAAAGGCGGTGTTTGGCACTCACGTGTGATGGAATGAAAGGGCACAATGGTGGTGATCTCCTGGAATTGTTGTTGTGAGGTAGATGAACAGGTGTCCAGTGGGCAGATGTAGATCCTTGGGGGTGGGATATCACGCCTCAGGACAGATGTGAAGGAGAGAAAAATATATACAAGGTGGTCAGAATCTGCGCAAATATATGACATGGATGTACATTCTTAACTCATCATTAGGTTTGGTGTGTGGCGATATCATCGCCGAAAAACAAGTGGCGGATCAAAGGCATTTTTTTGGGTAGTTTCAATCCTGATGTGGTTGACGATCTTTCGATCCTTGATGATTTAGGGCAGATGATGTTAGGATGTTAAGCAGGAAAAGTCTTGCATGCTGACTTTGGGCCAGGTGATGAGGAGGACGCTGTGGGCTCATTTTACAGATGTAGAACAAGGTAAGTGTCCAAAAAATGAGTCAATAAAAGAATAAGATACAGTAGTTCCAGGTGTGGGTGGTAGTCCTTGTTTGCAGTTGTAGGGGAGAGGAGATGAGATGGCCACTGTGTGTCTGTAGTGGCTGGTAAAGCGTCTTGTTGTACTGCTTTCCTGACAACAAAGCAATGAGGTGTGGGGCAGAGGAGAGGGAGAGGTAGCCCCTGAGTGCCCTCCAGTGGCTGGAGAGGCATCCTGTAGCTACAGTGTCCTCCTCATCACCTGGCCCAACATCAGCATCCAAGTCTTTCCACCTTAACGGCATCTTCCCTAAATTGTCAACCACATCAGGATTGAAACCACCCGAATGAAACGCCATCGGTCTGCCATTTGTTTTTCGTTGCTGATATCGCCACACACCAAACCTAATGGTGTGTTAAGAATGTACATCTATGTCATATATTTGATATATTTGCTCAGATTCTGACCACCTTGTATATATTTTTCTCTCCTCCACGTCAGTCCTGAGGTGTGATATCCCCCCCTTCCCCAAGGATCCACATCTGCCTACTGGACACCCGTCTGTTATCACGACCAGACCTCACAGCAACATAAAATCAAAATATTTAAAAAATAAATAAATATATTAATAAATAGCAATAGCAAGTGGGAAACTGGCTGGGAAAATGCCTTTTTAAACCCATAAGGGACATTCCTCCCTCTACACTCAACTTTAGGGTGATATTCCTTGTAGCCATAACCTCTGCAAGGCGAGTGCCACATTTATTTACTGCATGGCTTCCCTTAAAAAAAATGGGCTGGTATTTTGGAGTTTTCACTTAATTTCAGGGTATATTGTTTATTGCTTTATGCTGAAAGGACCTTTATTGTACATTAAACTAGTTTATCTACCTTTATCTACTTTCTGTGCTATGGGTTTGTAGAAAGATTCCACAAAAGAGAGTTTGTACTTTTAGAACACTTATGAGTGATTCAGTTATACTGTATATCTAATTTTGATAAAAATAATTGTTAGGCCAGTTTTTATTTAAAGGACACCTTTCAAATCCCCAAACACAGGGGTACCTTCATAATCCATACCATCAGATCTTTCAAATGCACTGTATCCTTCTTCAAATCATACAGCCTAAGCAGAATAAACATGACTGAAACTCATATGCAAATTTAGACATTTTGTGCAAATTAATTAGCCATGCCTTCATATCAGTTTCTAACTATTCACTCTAGTTGCTGATGTATGCTGAATGGAGTGACCCATTACTGTCAGATCAAAGGCAGGGGTGGTTTTAACATGTAGACCTGCTTCACTTTCTCTTCCCCAACAGGGGAATAATCGGGTATTGTGGGACGTATTGGAGAAGAGTTTTAGTTCATATTTGTCAGCAACTTCTGTAAACAAAGGCAAAGGAAAAGGTTGCTTTAAGGAAAGGGTAGTTTAAAAAAAGCATTGTTACTTACAGCGATCAGTTGGTAGGAGTTGTTCATCATGGCTATCAACATGTTGAGTAAGACAACCAGAGAGATGACATTGTATGTTCCAAACATGGTGGCTCCAACAAATTCTGTGAACTCATGTCGTGCTTTCACATTGGTAACATACAAGTTTAGGAGACCAAACACTGACCAGAACAGGGATTGAAGGGTCTCAAAAAGGCTGCAATACAGAAAATAAACGTGTCAAATTTTTATAAAAACTTAGCTATTAAAGTATAACAGTTTGAACCAGCAAGTATAGTACAGCCACCTCTCATTATTTAAGAGGTATCTTTAAAACATAAAATACATTAATTGACTATCAAAACAAATTCTGACAGCACCAGACAAACCCACCCCTGGCATTTGTGTATTTGGAACTATATAAACAGTTGCACAACGGCAAATTGCCCAGGTTGACAAAAGTTTAGCTGAATGTTTTTTATGATATATGACCTTTTAAATATGCCTGGAAATCAAAACCATTATTGTTAAAATCTAATAAACAGATGCACGGACTTGACATGACAAAAACATGAATATTACAAAACACTTAATAATTAGTTAATATAATAAACAATAGATTAACAAGTGTGTTTTGATCTATGTTTTTGCTATGACTTTTCTTCTACATGTTACATTGGATCTATGTTGTACACAGAATATAATATTAAAGTATTGGGAATGTCCTGAATATTGACATAACTTCATATATCTTATATTGCAATAGCAAAGGGACATATGCATAAACTATGACACTTTGTTCATTAGTCTGTAGTACTAACTCTGTTTTATCGATGTCCAGGAGACCTGGCAACTTCATGTGAGAATACGTCTCTTTAATTCTAAAATTAGTCTATTTATATATTTGTTTACACATTATTCACACAACATTCAGCCATCATTCACACATTTTAGTAATTTTTTGGGGAAAATTAGTGAACCCAGTGTGAAATTTGACAGGAAACAATACCGGCGCCTCCACGTGCAATATCGGCCAGTTGCAATGGTAACGAACACACTGAAGAGGCAGCTCCCACAGATCAAAGGACCTTCAATCTGAGAGACAAAAAACAAAAAGCAGCGCCTCTATAGTGTAAAACAAATTTTAAAGATAAAAACGCACAACTGTATTGTACTTACAAGAAGTCGGTAGTAAAAGGGCATGTAGAAAACAATGGGATGCCAAATCATCTAGCAGCGGAAGTCTGAAAAGATGTGCAGCATCAGCATCAGCGTGATTTGACATCCCATTATTTTCTAAATGCCTTTTTACTACCGACTTCTTGTAAGTACAAAACAGTTGTGCGTTTTTATCATTAAAATTCGTTTTACACTATAGAGGCGCTCCTTTTTGTTTTTTGTCTCTAGTGTGAAATGTGTTTGAATCTTGGGTAAAAATATTTATTGACTCCTAAGAGTCATGTTTAATATGGAGAGGCTGCCTGTACCATGCAAAGGTGGCTTTCATCTAAAAAGAATTGTAGGTAAGGAAAGTGAAGGTTTTGTCTCTTTACCATCCACTCCGATTTCAGATGTAATTGTAATTACAAGTTGCCTCTTAACTATTCCTATCTCAAGTTCAGCTTCAGTTCACATTTTGGATCTGGTGAGGGCATGGTGCAGTGGCCTTGTTTAAATGGCAGGCCACCAAGAAGCTTAGAGGTGTTTTTGAGGATGGGGCTTAGCGGTACCTGGTGCAGATTGCAGCTTTTTTTTTAGCAAAGCTTTTTGAAAATAAATCATGCACTGTGTACTTATTTAGGTGCAGAACAAATTCTATTGGGTCACATTGTTCAAATTAATGAAAGGGGAAGGTCAGAAATATAAGACCACTATTCTACTACATAAAAACTTCAAGTTGCAGCATGCATCAAATGTATTTGGGACAGTTACAAAAATATTACACTGTCACTTTTACAGGTTTGTTAGAGAAACACAAATCAAAAGTATCAAAATTAAAAGAAAGTTATGGCTAAAAAGACCATAGTTCTCTTTTGGGTCACAGGAGTACATTTATTAATGTACTCCTGTGACCCAAAATCAGCATATAGTGGGCTACTGCCTGCTATATGCTGACAGCGCAGAGCCTCAATGCAGCCGGGAAAGATCCTGACAATATTCTCGGGATCCTCCCCAGTATCTATTTGACAGCTGGCTCTGCCTCTCTAGATCCAAAACCAGCTGTCCTGCCCCTTCCCTTGTCTGTTTATTTAATGAGTGCTGGAGGAACAGAGAGAGTGGCGGGAAGAATTACTGTGGGGAACGGTGAATGACCATCACGACTCTCTACAGGGAGAAGCTGTGAACTGAGATATCAGCGGTTTGTGATCACTCAGTTCTCGAGCTATAGAGCCGGAGTGTAACAGCTGCAGTGTCACACACCGGCTCAAACTATTTGCAAGAGTACATTTTACTATCCCAATAGTTCTCCTTTAATGCTTGATATGTGTTTGCAGATTTTACTTACTTCTTAGTTATCTCTGAGACTCCAGCTCCGAGATGCATCAGCTGCGGTTGTAATGCTATACTCCTACTATGAAAATTACTAGAGTTTTACAACTCTTTCCCCAGGCAAAGAAAATTAAATATATTTAGTACATCTCTTCAATACTTGCACATTTTCACTCCTGCAGTCTCTTTGCAGTCACTTTATGTTTCCATACATCCACTCCAGTGATGGCTGCATGGTATTTGTCCAGACAGCTTTCCAAATGGTGACAGCAGTGGACCATATAACAAGAAGGGCCTGATCTGGGACCCTCAAGGCAGGACCTTCAGGTTTTTTTAAAGTATTTTTTTAAATAGGCTTTTTATACAGCATAATATTGTATTTTCCTGAAGTTAGCAGACCTTTATTTCTACAGGGCCTTTATTTCTACAGCTAGATACTCTTAATGAAACGGTGATAGTGATTGCAGCTGCAGCTTGAAGGGTGAGGCCTATATTCCAAATTTGAATCACATGCTATTTAACTGTAGGAACGTAAAATACTTTAGAATAGATCTGCAGGTTGAGGAATCGGATCAATGGAGAAACGAATAAATGAATCATTCAAAACTTTGTTTCCTACCCTGTCCCCACGTAAGGAATGACAATTTATTAGCATGTATAATATTGATTACAAGTTGGGTTGAAAGAAGGATACCTTGAGTAAGTAATATATATCAGATTTCAGAGTCTTATGGGGCATTGGGTGGTAGGGCTCTGAAAATTAAAATAGTTTTGAAGGTCGATGGGCTAAATAAAGTGATACATTTCCAGTGTTCCAGTTATTTTAATAAGGTTTTATAATTACCTTAGTTTTATTATGCAAATGTTGTACGTGTTAAAACTTTTAAAAAATGTGTGCTGAATACACTATTTTAACTTGTGACTTTATCTAACAATGAGTGTCCGTATAATGTCAAGTGCAAACGTTGTTATAATCAGTAAAAACTATTTTATATTTCTCTATTTTTGTTCAAATCCTAAATCCTCAAAAGGGTTTAGCTTGTCCTCAGTCTAAACCCTAAATATAGTGATACAGTTCCAGTGTCCCAGTTACTTTAATAAGGTTTTGTAATTACCTTGGTTTTATGCAATTTTTGTACTTGTTAATAATGTAAAAAAAATAATGTGCACTGAATACACAATTTTAACATGCTATTTTATCTAATAGTGAGTGTCAGTATAATGTCAGGTGCAAATATTGGTATAATCAGTAAAAACTGAAATGTTATCCCAGATAGCAAGGATAACTTGCCACAAACTTGTGGTGGGGTTAAATTGTAATTCTTGTTAACTTGCTGCACACATTCCTGGCAAGTTGTAGACTTGCAGAACACTTGCAGCACAAGTTCTAGTTGACACTTTTTGAATTTGTAGCAAATTTGCTTGGCAAGTCTACAGCAAGAGTCCTGCAGGTCTTAGCAAGAACTCTGCAAGTGTACAGCACTTTTGCCAAGCACGTTGCTCTAGAGACTTGCAATGCAGACTTGCTGTAATTGTGCAACAAAATTGTGAAGCTTGGCAAGTCTAGCAATAGTTTAGCAAGTCATTTTCAAACTCGCAGCTCAATTGCTTGCTACCTGGGATAGGCTTTTGTATGTTACATTTTGATGATGCAAATATTAGGAGAGTCAACACACAGAATAATTAGGCAGTGTGTTACCGTATACTAGACAAGTCATTTACTACTATCCTCTCACTTATCCAGCTTGATACCAGTGATTGGCATTTATAAAGGGCTATATGCACAATGAGTTTATAAGTATCAAACATAGATAGACTAAACCTACATCTCTGATCAGAATGTTATCCTAAATAATAGGCTGCATGTTTCTAACTTTTAATTAGACAATTCTATTCAATAATCAATTAGTTCTTAGAATTATCTTTGGAATGTTGTATAATATAATTTGTTTAGGATTACTTTTTCAGAAGCACAGATCAATCCTGTATGTAAGTGATGACCTAGCTATTATTTGCTTTTATGTGTAAGTAAGTATAAATCATGTTAGTTGTTACATAGTATTTGAGGTTGAATAAAGACATTAGTCCATCAAGTCCAACCTATTAGGATCTCATTGTGTAAACACAGATAATAAAATGAACCACTGTGATTTGTATCACATTACATTTCAGCCTTTCATAAACAAGCTGTCTTGGACACATTAACTGCTGAGCAGTGAAGAACTTAGTAAAAGTGTGAGCTCATCATCCTCCCGCTTGTCACGGGTGAGTGGCCTGCCATTTTGTCTTAGACATCTCTGCAGTGACATTGCGAGAGGTTCATATTTTGTGTCATGCGTCTGCTCACTTTGCTGCAAACAGTTTGTGATGGTGCAGATTTGGAAACAGAGTTTGCTTGTCCGCACAGACGTCTTCTCGTTAGAAACCACAAGCTAAAGTGACAAAGGTCTGTGGGGACATCCATCGTCATGTTATTTCATAGCCATTCAGAAAAGAAAGAGCACTGTTTGGCAGAAATCGGTCCATGTCTGTACAAGCTGAATGAGGGCTGCTTAATCCCTCTCCTATTTAGGGAGAAAGGCCTTTTTGAGCTAGCAATCATTTCTGGTGTGAAAGAATCGACACAAATGAGGCAGCAGAGCCAACGCATCGAAGGTGTTTTACTGTAAGACTTCGGTTCGTAAATTGAGGATGTTAGATAAACTGAAAAAAAAACACGTTTCATTC